AGTTGTTTTAGCTAAGGTGCTGCTGGCGCAGGCTCCATACGTGAGGCTGAGCTCAGAGACGAGCTTTTGTGCAAACAGAAGCCAGTTTGGTTGCACTGGACAGGACCATTACTTGGAGCTTCTTATGAGATTGCTGCCCTGTTCTTTGGCACAGTTTGACTCAGCGATATGTTTAAGACATTGCTTTTTTTATTAGAGTTATTGTAAAACTAAGTTGTCTTTTATCTGATAAATCTGAATACCAAGGCAGTGAAATGGGTCTTGATTTTTTTTGGCCAGAACTGAAGTGAAGCCCGTGCCTTGCCACCACAGGTCGATCTTTCTTCAGGGTTTGCAACTCAAACACGGCCAGACTGCGAGTTACGGGAACCAGCTAGGCTATCCTCCTGTACCAGCGGAAGTAAAAGGGGCCCAAAAAGATGGTCTCATTGTTAAAGACTTGTTCAAGGATATCAGGGTCTTCCCAGGCAAACTTGCTGGAGTCCCGTTATCGTTAGTATCTCGGTCCCCCACGTCTGTCAAAAGAGGATAACGACTGAGCTGGCTCCCCGTTAGCGGTGGGGGATGATCTGCTTGGCAGATTGACTCTGCTGTGAGCCCAGAGACACCTGAGCAGGCTCCTGCAGCCCACTCCATCCAGAACGGCTGTCCTGCTGCAAAACCTGAGTGACGCCGCTCAGCGTGGGCGGAGAGGCAGAAAAACCTTGTTTGCCTGGCACTGAGCCTAAGCTAACAGCCTCTGCCAAACCTCAGGTGCAAAATACATCGAATTATCCGTGTTTTTCTTCTGTGAGAGCCCCTCCTTCCCTCTGCCTGGGCAACAGAGATTTGACTGCTTCGTTTCACCCAGCTTTCGTCTGTCTTATCCCATTCTTTGGGGCAGGAGTGGCCTTCTGGCCAGTTTTGGTAGGGTGCCTGGCAGAGCAGAGCTCCCCACCTTGCTCGTTGCCCATCACTGCTATTGTCCTGCAAATAATAGGTAATTGCAACGCAGTCGTTGAACTGCACACAGGAACAAGCGTGCTAGAGCTGGACATAGCATCCCCATGCAGTGATATAAGGGTGTCGTTAATAGTCTAGCTGAAGGGCAGCTTTACATTGTATTAGATATTTTAATTAGGGAACTGCTTCCCGGTTAGGATTGAAGCTAATTTACTTCCACTGGGCTGTGCTTTAAATCATCTTGTAGCTTCCTCGGTAAGAAACAGATATCCTTGAATTGCACATGCCATAACTCAGCAGGGGTAGAGTTTCCTTGATAGGGAAGATCAATAAATGAGGTTTATCTAAGGCTGCAGCATGCTGAAGATGTGTCCGAGCACCGCGGTATTCACTCTTGGCCTCCTCTGCCTCTGGGTGACTCCGCAGCATCCTGGCCACGGTGCTTTGCACTGACTTTGGGTGGGTTGACCTTGCCATGAAGAATTAGCTGTGGGAGGGAGAGTTTTAAGCAGGTAACACATTGTTCATAGGTGCAGCAAAAGCAGCGTGAGCATGGTAAGTCAGGGGAGGCGGCGGGAGAGGGAGGGTCTGCGTGCTCCACAGAGATACAGAAGTGAAAAAAACTGTTGCCTAATCAGACACTCCATTTCCAGGCATCTGTTAGGCAGAGACCACGGTGTTTGTCTTCATGAATGCGTTTACAGTGAAAGAGGGATTTTTTCCTCCTTCCTTGGGAGGATTTTGGTGCATGGCAGTGATGGCAATGCGACCCGCAGTGGCAGGCAGCAGCCAGCAGCAGGGACCGAGCTGCCTTCCCACCGAGGGCTGTGCAGCGGGGATGGGTCCTGCTCCAAAGCCCCGGCAGTCAAAGTACAACTAAAATAATCACACCAAAATCTGCAGAAAACATTTTGAGGCTTCTTACTTTTTAACTATCCTGCTGACTTCAAAGGCCATTTAATTCTGTCATCCTTTTTAATCAAAATAACTGGAGACAGCAAAGCTGTTTATCTCCAAACATTGCCAACATCTCTCTACATGTTCAGTGGCAGTTATAGGACACAGAAAACACACTACAAGAACATTTGCTTGCACCAAAATTCGTGTCCCCGTGGGAGCAGAGAGAGCGCTTTTGAGGTGCTTTAGATTGATTAGAAAATGAGTCTGCAGGTAACAGCCGCTTTGTCACCCTGAATGTTGATTTCTCTCCCCTTGGCTGAGGGCCAGAGATGCATCTCTCTATTTCAGGATAACATTTTGTGCATACAGGTGGTGGAAAAGGAGGGGGGGTGTAGGAAAGAGAGCTCGTTAGGCTGAACAATAGCGTTGGCCCTAGAACAAATAGTTCTGGCCACGAACAAATTTAGGTGGAGCAAGAAGGTTTCTAAAAAGTAAAGCAGTGAGCTTTTGATAAAGCGTCTGGTAGGAGGGGGCCAGGAAAAAACCACCAACATCTTTTCAGATAGAGCTGCTTTACTTTACATTAGGGGTTTTGCAGTATGGCTGGTTGCGGACAAAGAGGACTGGTCTGCCTATATTGCTCTCCAGCATTCCCATTGACCTGAGCTCCACTTGTGAGCTTGCTCTTCACCTCGAGAAATCCCAGGCATTCCCTTCTCCCTCCTACCGATGTGTTTCTTTTCCAAGCTGACAGCCCTTGTCATCTCTCTCCTTCTTTCCCTATGGCCGCCTTCTAGTTTTATTCCCTCTTTTTTTGCAGTGGAGTGAGCAGAACTGCACTGTGCGGTTCAGTGTATGGATTTACACAGTGGTATAGTAGTGTTTTCTGTGTTGTTTTGTATGCCTTTGCCACTAATTCCTAGATGAAACATCCTAGTGACTGTGATACACGTGGAATATACCTACGGCAGGGGTGTGTGCACAGGCAGCAGCCTGGGTTAACCCAGCTGACACAGCCAGCATCACCAAATCAGCCTTGCAGCACACGAACCCTTCTGCAGGTCTGGAACAGAAGCAGAAACCTTCAGAATGAAGTATGAGTAATTCGGAGTTTAACAGGACTGTCTTACTCACCTAGAGCATGAAAGAAAGTCTACGTGATATGTGGGGAGCAGAGGAAAGGTGTTATTAAAGGGGAGAAGTCATCATGCCTTTCTTTGGCACTTGTTTTCTCCTGAGAGCACTTCTTCCATGAACACGCATCTTTGGCCTCTGGGACAAGGGGGTGCTTGGTGAGAGGCAAGGAGAGCAGACAGACCTCTGCCATAGAAACAGTATTGTCACCATAGCCATGATTTTTTGTATCCAGAACAGGGAATTACAGTTTCAAGGTCCATCTGCTGAAAGTTTTTCTAGGCTTTCCATGAGGAGCAGGACTGAGAGATCGTGGTTGCTTTGCGAGAGATCTTCTCCCCCAGTAGCTCAGGCTCTGTTTAATGTGTGCCTGCCAGGGAGCACCGAGCTGGTATTTTCAGAGTACTGTGACCTTCAGATCTTTTTTTCTGAGTGGTTTTAACAAATTTACAGCTCATTAAAGTAAACGTATTCTTAGGGGGGGGTTAGGCCCATAGGCAGCTCTTGCCACGTGTCAGTAGTGAATTTTGGTGCTCAGGCACTTTGAATGAGGAGATCCTTCTGCAGATTCTTCTCAGTAAAGATTGACTGTCCTAAACAACCACCACCCACAAGCTCCATCTTCTCAGTATTCACTCCCTTTCCCAGATCACTTATGAGCATGTTGAAAAACACAGATCCTCAGAGAAATCCCTTGATAACCTCTTCCCATTATGAAAATTATTTATTTCTTCTTACCCTTTGTTTCCCATTGGTAACTACTCATGCAGAAGTGCCCTTCCCCTTTGCACCACTACTGCTCCAATCCCAGAAAAGCCTTGGGTGAAGGACATTTCCAAAAGCCTATGAAAAACATAACCTGTGCCGGGGACCAGGTCACCCCATCAGAGTGGTCACCTTCACTTTGAAAGAACTTGACTAGCTATAAGGCAAGACTGTACTCCGCCAAAACCAGGTTGTCTCAGTCCCCTGTATATCATGAGTTCGTTAATTATGGTCTTTATTACAATCTCTACCAGCATGCCCAATAGAAAAGCCAGATGTCCTGGTGTGTAAGTCCCCTGGGCCACCTCCTGAGCCCTTTCAAAATATGCCCTTAAGGAATTTGCTATTCCTTAAGGACAAATTTGCCATTCCTTAAGCCGGGAGGCAGATTTCAGCCACCGGTGGCACAGCCTGTGAGCAGCCTGGCAGTTCCTTGCCTGAGTTTCATCTGTCCTCCAGGGCCGGCTGGTGTGCTGCCTGTGAATTTATTGATCTGCTTAAAACCTCTCCGTGGCCTCAATATCTAATCTGTTACGGAGAGCAGAGTGTTACAGGGCAAAATTCATTAACGTTTGTAAAGCTCATCAAGATCTTCCATGAGCAAATCCCATCATGTTTTAATATATATTTTAAATGTCACAAGTAAGTTCTCATTACTCATTGAAGAGCTGAAGCAAACAGCGCTTGCCAGACCCAAATATTGGAACAGGCAAAGGCTGCAACTCTCTTCGTTTAGCACTTTTAGGACACTTTCATTTCAGCTTAAACTCCCTGCCTTGACTCTGCTCCTCCAGATCAGAAGCCACCCCCCAGCTCTCCCAGATGTGGGCTCAGGGATCCCCATGGACCCCTGGCCCTGGGCTTTTCAGAAGATGACTGCTGGCTCCACGGGGCTCTGAGAGTTGCTGGTCCTGGTCACTGTTAGGATTGCGCTGGCAGCATGAGATGCCAGCATGAAGAACAGCAAAGGATGGATGAGTGCAGCCAGCAGGTGTTGGATCACACAAACACGGGAAACCTTCCCAATACCCTTCTCCTCTGACCCAGCGTGTAGTTTTGTCCCCCTCCAATGGTGCTTGTACATTACTGCACACTTGCTGGTAGGTTTGGCAGACGGGTCCTGGGCTACTGGGACCAAAACCATATGCACTTCTGTTCAAGTGGCCTAAGTGGCATTTTTCCCACGACCGCGGATGTGGTCTGGGTCTCTGCAAGAGCTTCACAATGAACTTTCATTTCCCCTTGTTTTTCCTGCCAGGATGCCCGGAGGAGACATGGCCAAACCCCTCCTGGGCCATCGGAGCATGGAGGGTGACCCCAGCATCACTCCTGCGGCCGGCCGCACCATCGGGGTGCTGGGGAGCGGGGACTTCGCACGGTCATTGGCCATCCGCCTGGTGTGCTCCGGGTTCAAGGTGGTGGTCGGCAGCCGCAACCCAAAGCGCAAAGCCGGCCTCTTCCCTTCTGCAGCAGAAGTCACCTTCCAGGCTGATGCGGTGAAGAAGACGGATGTCATTTTTGTGGCGGTTTTCAGGGAACATTACTCCACCCTCTGTGACCTGGCTGATGTGCTGGTGGGCAAGATCCTGGTGGATGTTAGTAACAACACCGAGATCAACCATCACAAAGAATCCAACGCCGAGTACTTGGCTTCCCTGTTCCCAGCCTGCACCGTGGTCAAGGGGTTTAACGTGGTTTCTGCGTGGACGCTGCAGTCAGGTGCCAGGGATGGAAATAAGCAGGTACTGTTTTCTTCTGACAAGGGCCAAATCGCAACTGTTTCAGCAGCGGAGGTCTGGCAGCAGTAGCAAATGGCCCTAGGCTCCAGGAAAAGGGGTCTGAGTGCTGGCTGTGGCATCCAGAGACCACCCCATAGCTTCTGCATTTCTTTGCTCAGAAATGAAGTACCCCCACTTCCTTCACGCTTTGTAGTCTTTGGAGCCTCTGCCTTAGTGAAAAGTTTTCAGGGAACATTACTCCACCCTCTGTGACCTGGCTGATGTGCTGGTGGGCAAGATCCTGGTGGATGTTAGTAACAACACCGAGATCAACCATCACAAAGAATCCAACGCCGAGTACTTGGCTTCCCTGTTCCCAGCCTGCACCGTGGTCAAGGGGTTTAACGTGGTTTCTGCGTGGACGCTGCAGTCAGGTGCCAGGGATGGAAATAAGCAGGTACTGTTTTCTTCTGACAAGGGCCAAATCGCAACTGTTTCAGCAGCGGAGGTCTGGCAGCAGTAGCAAATGGCCCTAGGCTCCAGGAAAAGGGGTCTGAGTGCTGGCTGTGGCATCCAGAGACCACCCCATAGCTTCTGCATTTCTTTGCTCAGAAATGAAGTACCCCCACTTCCTTCACGCTTTGTAGTCTTTGGAGCCTCTGCCTTAGTGAAAAGTATTATTTAATTGTCTGTTTATCTAAACACAGCCAGTAAAACAAAATGGTGGTGCACACATGAAAAGAAACCTGTCCAGGAGAGAGGTCTTTGGCAGCCAAATCCCCAGCAGAAAGCCTGCCAGGAAGCATGATGCTCAGTGGAATAATGTAGGCTTCCTTTAGCGCAGCATCCCTCCTGATGCACTCGTTCCCAGCAGCCTGATCACTCTTTGCCCTCTGTGTATCTTTCTGTTCGTTGCAGGTTCTGATTTGCTCAAATAACCAAGAAGCCAAGCACACTGTAGCAGAAATTGCTCAAGCCATGGGGTTCACCCCTGTGGACATGGGCTGCATGTCGTCAGCCTGTGAGATCGAGAACATTCCCCTGCGCCTCTTGCCAGCCTGGAAAATCCCCATCTTTTTGGCTCTGGGGCTCTTTCTTTGCTTCTTCACTTACAACCTGATCCGGCAGGTCATCCACCCTTACATCAGGGAGCAGAAGAACAAGTTGTACAAGATCCCCATCGAGGTGGTCAACACAACGCTGCCTTGCGTGGCCTACGTCATGCTGTCTCTCGTCTACCTGCCCGGGGTGCTGGCAGCCTGCTCGCAGCTCTACTATGGCACCAAATACAGGCGCTTTCCAGATTGGCTCGACCAGTGGCTCCAGCACCGAAAGCAGATCGGTCTCCTCAGCTTCTTCTGTGCGGCTTTGCATACCATGTACAGCCTCTGTCTGCCCATGCGCCGCTCCCACCGCTACCAGTTAATCGAGACGGCCGTCAAGCAGGTAATGTGGGTACTCTTCAGGTCAGCACCTGTAGTAATCTTCTACACACATCCAGATGTTGGGTAGCAGGCTTAATATCTTGGCCTTTGCGTTCACTTTCCAAAGCATGTGTGGGCCAGTGGGAATAAGCTGTTATCAGTATGAGCACTTCTTCCACAAGGCAATCGCATAGCACATCCTCATGCACCCATCCGCACTGAGGACCAGCCATCTTAGCAGGGTGTTGCCCGTGCTTTTACAGCCAGGGCTAGGATCAAACTCTCCCGTGCCATTGCTCCCCAGAAGCACAGACAAGCCTTTGAAACCAGCCTTGCCCAGCACCTGGTGTGTCTGAGACTAGGGCAGAGGCAGGAAAAATGCTAGGAGAGGAGAAATCCAGTGGTGGAGGGAGCAGAGTTCCCCTCAACTTTTCTCTCTAGATTTTGGGAGATCCCCATTTGCTCGCACTGACATTCACAGTAGGTGCCTGCTGGAGTGACCAAGTCATAACCCATGGAGTTTGTTTTGTAGGAGGTGTGTCCTCATCACAACGTGCCTCCAGGAGTTTAACAAAATGATGGTGAAGAACTGGTCATAGGCTAAGAGAACAAGGAAACGGAAAAGGACTTTATTACCTTATTGAGACTCTCAGCAGTGTTTATCCAGTGTGAGATTGCTACCTTCAGGCAATTCAGCCAGCTCTGTAACCCGGCAGTGCCATGGGAAAATGTGGTTCTGCCCTTCTCCTGCCCCTGGCTTCTCACTGCTCCACCCCGCTCCCTCCTGGGATGGCACAAGCTTTGTGCAGCTGAGTGGGGAACCTGATCAAGGAATTGCCCCATAACCAGTCTGCTTTCTGTGCTGGGATATTTGCCCGAGTCTTTCCAAATGCTTGTCCCAACAGAGAGGAGGGAAGGGGCCGTGGGGGCAGCGGGGAGCAGGATGGCTGCTTTCGGCAGCAGTGCCTGTTCAAAGCATCCATCAAACAACATCCCCAGCTGCTCGGCTCCAGCCTTGAGCAGGTCCTTCTCGATTGCCACAGTTGCACATTAATCTCGGGCAAGCATCCTGTGTTCACTTCCCCTCTATCTCCTGTTTTCTAGCAACATCTTTGTTTAGTAAATTAAACCCATTTAATGGGCTAAAGAGGACGGTTCTAAATGTTGCTCTTTGCCATGCAGCATAAAACCCATCTTCCCTTCCATTAGCATGAACAATTTCCCCCCTAAATGCACTTAAAACGAAGGTTATTAGGAGACTACTGCATATTCAAGCATCTGTATTTGTTTTCATGGCTTTAAACTGACTTCTCGTTCTAATTATCTTTCCAAATGCGACTTTGGGGCTTGCTGCAGTGGTTACGGGCTGTGGGAGCTGAAAGCATTCAGCAGTTCTTCCCAGCAGGCTTCAAATCTGGTCTAGCTTGGCCAAACAGCAGTAGGATAAAAGAGCATTTTCACACCTCCCAAAACGCAGGGGCAAATAGCGCTGGAGGTGTAAATAGGAACCAGTGTTCATCCAGGAAACCTGCTTCCAAAACCAAAACTAATACAGATAAAATTGAGTTCCTCTATTTCTAAGCGCTCCGTTTTAACAAACCTTCGTTGTCATGCCAGGCTGTGGAGAAGAAGATGAATATCTGGGTAGAGGAGGAAGTCTGGAGGATGGAGATTTATATCTCTGTTGGAATAATTGCCCTGGGCTTGCTGTCGTTACTTGCCATCACTTCACTTCCATCCATCGCAAACTCTCTCAACTGGAGGGAATTCAGTTTCATTCAGGTAAAGTTGACATTTGCTGATGCCAGAGAGTGATTTTGCAGTCAGAGCCAGGCCCTCACGCAGACCACAGAGGGCAGAGGTTGACCTGCCATCCCAGCACGTCCCTGCTCTGGCACGGCCACCGCAAGCTGCACACCGGTGTCAGGGGCAAACCCTGCCACTCCACACCTCCCCATGCACCCCAGAGCCGTGGATCCCCCCCGCCCGGGAGGTGACACCGAGCGGTGACAGTGGGGCAGCGGGATGTGGTGTGTCCCAGGGGGGCCGCGCTGCTCTCACGCAGAGCTCACCCAGTCTGCAGAGGGTGCTGCTGTCTCGGGGGGAAGGGAAAATGTAATGTGTCATGGGCATCCACGTGAGGATTAGCGGCAGGCTTTGCAGGAGGGAGTCTTTAATGTCTTGGCTGAAGTTCTTTCTCACCCTGCATTTAGCAGCATTAGAGATCCTGAGAAAAAAACAGCCTGGGCTTTGCCTGCGTGACACCCCCTGCAGAGTCCTTCTTTCCCCCTCTGTGGCCGTGAGCAGCGCTGCCATTCACAGCTAAAAACCTCCTGAAGTCACACAAGGCAGAAAGACAGAAAGCCTTGGGGTCATTTTGAGAGCTCAGGGTTGTTCCCCTCCGTGGGCAAGACCCCCCTTGGAGCCGGTCGCATGCCAGTCATGCACAACATGTCGGAGATGCTGCGGGGAGTTTGCACCAGGCTGGGGAGGGCAGGCAGGTAACCCACTATGAAGAGAGCTGGCTGTGGGACGCAGATCTGCCCTGGCATTTCAGAGAGAGTGAGCTTCTGAAAAGACAACAGTTAGGAAAGCACCGGGGAAGACAGTGCAGGGGAAGGTCAGGTTTGGCAGAGCTTGCATGCACCCAAATATTCAATAGACAGGTTTGAAAAGACCTAGACCGGTCTATAAAAATGCCAGAGCTCAAGAAGCACAGAGAACTGGGTATGGTTTCAATGAAAAGTCCCATGTCTGATTCTAAAAGGTGAATTAGGAGTGCAGGGGTAATTTTTCTTTCTCCAAAGTCATTCAGTATTTTAGGAGCCTTCTTCCCACTTGCAGCAATGTCCAAGCTCCCCAGGGCCAAATTCCCATAGTGACCTGAGTCCACCACGTGGGACATTCACAAACCCCAAACTCGGGGGCTGCAGCACTCTCAGGGATGTGCTTGGAGCCAGGCTTAGGACTAACTAACAGGGATAGCAGGGAATGAAACTTCAAGTATTCCCTGCACATTAGAGCTCAATTTGAGGCCAAATTCCACTCACCGTGTCACTGTCGTATCCCATAGTCCTAAAACCCCTTGTTACTTGTGTCTCCTACATCACTGCTGCTTAGCGTGTGCCAGGCTTCAAGTCCCGCTGCAGTGGCCCGCGTGGCACCCTGACACGCGTGAGTCCCCCCAGGAGACCCTGTCCCCCCACACCTCCCCTGCGGAGCCTCTCCCACACATCACACCTAACCCTTCAAAAAGGGGAGGGCAGGGTTCGGGGATGCAGAGGTGAATATCTATCATCCAGTCTCTCCTGTTGAAGCTCTTCAGTGGCATATAAATAATTCAATATTCATTAGAGCAGGAGTTTGAAGTCTGCTCCCCGGCTTCCCCCACAAGTGCCCTGATCACCAGACGAGCAAGTCAGTTTGTCTTTTTTCCTCTCTTGCTGTGGGCTAGCTAGTAATTATTTACACTGAGTAGAAGAGCCTCACTGGGAGAACTTGACCCCAAGAGATTGTCCCTCGGAGAGAGGGGAGACCTGGCTTTAAACCTCTCTTTCAGATCGGACAACGGGAGCATATTAATTCTGGCCACCATGTCTCAGGGGAGGGCTGCAGCCTCTGGGACGTTGGATAAATTGATCCTGGCTTAGGCATCTCACACCAGGAATCCCAAATGAAGGGAAGTGTCTCCTTGCAGCCTGCATTTCCCTTTGGCTCCCCAGGCAGCCCAGCAGCTCTCCTGGAGGGTGCTGGTGGTACATCATGTAATATATACGGTGTCACGGCAGATAGTGCTGCCGCCTCCTACCAGTGTATGTAACACGGCTGTCGCATCTGCCCTTTGAGACCCCTTCCCGCATCTTTCTAAGGGTATGTCAGCGCTGGGACAGGCCGCATACGTGATGCTCGGCTCCGAAATAGCTCTTGGCTGCCCCACATGGGAACTGGCTGGCTTAGTTCGTGGAAAGATACTCGCACCTATTTCTGTCCGTGTGGGATAGAGCATGACAGTGTGACACGAGCTCTCAGCTGATCACATGCAGGAGAGGCACGGCTGGTATTGTGCCCTACTGTGGAAATATCATGTAAAAAAAGCAGGTTACAGATCTCTTAGCACGTTAGCTTCCATTTATTTTTTTTTAAATGAGGACTCTTTTAAATTATTTACTCTTCAAAAAGTTGGTGATACCTTTCTTGAGGAAATTAAGAGCAGATACAGCTACTGCTCCCAGGCTCCAGAGGTTAACATTCATGCAGTGCAATGTGATCCTCCCTGAATTAATGCACAGCGGCACAATGTAAATACAAGGGGTGAAGCACGAGGCTGCTTTCTCAAATATTTGGGATGTCTAGCACTTGACCCTTTTACAGTGCATCAGAGGCATCGTGGCTTCCCGTGCCTGGGAAAAGTGAAAGATAAGGAAAATGGGGAGCGCAGCCGCCCCAGCCAGATGTCTCCCAGAAAATGCAGCGATTTGTCACCATCTCAGTTGAACTGGCTAGTGTGTTTGTGAGACGCTCTACCAAAAGCCACATTTGAGAGAGGGCTGGGGCTTGTTACAAATCCAGGAGCCACTTTAGTCTCCTCCTTACCCAGAGCTTCCCAAGTCTGACATTTTCCAGCAGCAGTGTGTGCACCTCTATCAGTGTCATGGGATACTGCCATGCTCTTAAAATACACTTCTGTTGCCTCACGGGCCAAAAATCCCATTTGGATTGTTGCTAAGGTTTTAGAAAAAAAAAACAGTTAATTTTTATAGTAGTTCCTGCACATATACAAATTTCAATTAAATACAGTTAAATTGGATACACAGTTCCCTATGTGTCCAGTTTTGATTAACAGAAAATGTACAGGGTCTAGACACTGGATAACAGGAATGATTTGTATGTAATTCAACTTATAGGAGACATTTTTAATGTTCCCCAGTGATTTACAAATCAACTCGAATTGGCTGAGAAGTAAAAATGTGTATGATTGCCTTTACCTTCCCACCCTGAGAAGTCCTCCTGGAATTCGAAGGTTGAATTGACCTGGTTTCTTTCTTAGCTCATGTATCGCAAGATACAAAGAATCTGTCATCAGACCTTTTCTAACCCTCCTGTTGCTGAAGTGTGAGCCAGAGCCGCTTCCACAGAGCTAATGACTTCGCAGGACTGACGGTAGCAGAAGTCAGAAACATATTTGGGTCAGGAAGGGGCCGTTGGCTTTGGACACTGCCCAGACATTTCCAAATGAGGCACATGTGGCTGAATCACCTTCGCTGATGCATTACAGGGAGCCTCGCAGGCACCAAGGAGATGGGGGAGATACAAGAGAATACAGACTAGAAAATATATGCAAAGCCTGCATCAGGAAGATACCATCTTCATACAGCTGTCTTTCAGAGGGCTTTAACACCACCTTACATGGGTGGTGGTCCCGTATTCCCCATGCTGTGACAGTGCAAAAGAAACCCCTGCCACTGTTTAAAACAAAAAAACAAAAAAGTTTCATAGCCAGAAACTGCATTGAGAGGATAAACGAGAGCAGAGCTTCAAAACTCAGTGCGGTGTCAGGGCTAAGGACGCTGGCAAATCAGCCCTCGTGGGGTCCTCAGCAGGCTCTGCATTGTACTATACTGAGTATATATTGAGCTGTATGTACTGAGCCAAGCTGCGATCAGCAAAACTTCTGGGTTTTGTGCACTTACAGACCAACCTGTACCCGGCTGACAGCTTGTCTGGCGGGTGCAGCCATAGGGCCCTGCTGACCACAAGTCCTTCAGCCAACATCAGCATTGGGACCCCCCTCCCGGGCACCCCCTGCTCTCACCAGCCAGCCCCTCGTTTGTGTTACGAGCTGATCAGCCCATTGCTGCTGTCTGAGGAGCTGCCAGCACTGTTTCCAGCCACCAGTGACTGATCCACGCGTTTTTTGCCAATTAGCTTTTTACTTTCACGTGCCCCACCATCCGCACACAAAGGTGGGTCACTGAGCGCCCGTGATGGTTTGTCACCTTTTGTCCTACTAATTTCCACTCCTGTTCTCCCCCAGTACCAGCAGCGGTTGAAAGAGAACCTGTAGAGGAAGAAACTAATTATTTCCAGCTCTGACATCTCTGCCATGCATAGAGCTCTGCTCAGGCTGACTCCGAAAGCATCCTCCGCCCAGGGCAGAAAGCGTCTGCTGCCCTTGAACTTCACTCTGTCCCCTTTCCCCCTGCCCTGCTTTACATCTGTGCTCTGCCAGATGAGTCTCAAGCTGGTACTTCCAAGCTTTTGCCACCCAGAGATTTTTTTGTTTCCAGCTCTGACATCTCTGCCATGCGTAGAGCTCTGCTCAGGCTGACTCCGAAAGCATCCTCCGCCCAGGGCAGAAAGCGTCTGCTGCCCTTGAACTTCACTCTGTCCCCTTTCCCCCTGCCCTGCTTTACATCTGTGCTCTGCCAGATGAGTCTCAAGCTGGTACTTCCAAGCTTTTGCCACCCAGAGATTTTTTTGCCTGTTGGAGAGAAGTTCAGAGTCGGGAAATGATGGATGAGCTATGGGTCGGGTCCTGCTGTTAGGTTCAACTGCAATCATGGCATATTCCAGCAAACTCCTCCTTAATTTTCCAAGTGAAACCAATCTTGACCCTGTTTGGGTTTGCTGCTTGTTATCACTTTAGCTTAGGAATCAGATGTGGCTTCTGGTAAGAAGGACGGCTGTCCCTGGAGGAAAGGATGGATGCAGGGATGCACACAGGACTGAAGATCAGTTCACGGGTCTGCTCCTGACTCCTGGCATGACCTTGAGTAATGCTCAGCTGTAACACAAGAGAGAAAAGTTCCCTAACTTGGCAGGGTGTTATACAGGCGAAATCTTGGCAGGATTCAGTGACACCCACACGACTGCCTGATAGGTGCTGTAAAAGTAAAGTACCTAGATCTGGTAGCACGTTGTAGAGCTCTCCTTCCCTCCCCTGCCCAGTCCTCTCAGCTGCCTAAATGATTAGCTCTGAAGGTTAGAGGATCCTTGGTCGAGTTTGTTGGTAACAACATGGTACATTTTAAAAAGACACAGACCTGTTGGAGCGGGTCCAGAGGAGGGTCACAAAAATGATCAGGGGGATGGAACACCTCTCCTATGAAGAAAGGCTGAGAGAGCTGGGGCTGTTCAGCCTAGAGAAGAGAAGGCTTTGGGGAGACCTTCTTGCAGCCTATCAGTACTTAAAGGGGGCTTAT